CCCAGGACTTTGGGGTAGTTTCTTAAAGTCAATTACGTTATCGTTTCGTATGTACAATGGAAACACCCCCAGGGCATGTCCCTTCTGTGAAACAAAAGCTCCATTGATGTCTCCCACCAGCACACAATGGATAAATCAAACCGACCTCGTGGGAAGCCGATTGGGGGGGTCTGTGTCGTGATTCAGCTCCCTGTTTGAATGCTGCCCTTTGCGGCGAGAGGGCACAGTGAAATCCGCACACAATGCTGTACCCACGACAGTATGGCCTTGCTGATTGGGATGTAAGCTGTGTGCTGGTCAAAGCGCTCGGAAATCCCGTTCTGTTGCCTGGACAAAGCGAGGCCTCTCGGAGAAGCAAAATAAAGCGGCGTGGTTTCGTTTTGTGGCTCTTAGGTGAGATGGTTCCAAATCCTTATGCAGGTGACTGGCCCTGGTGAGGCCCCTCCATGGGGAGCAGGATACAGGGAGAGGGAGAAAGGGATTAGTCAGCCAGCTTCAGGTCTCCCAAACTGGCACCATCCTGCATCCATTCTCCCGGGCACCCAAGGGCAAACTAAGATCATTGGCCCACATGAGGGGATCCCAAGGAGGGAGTGCACTGGCCCCTCGGCGCTGATGGATTTCCGTGTTAAAGTGGGTGGGAATTGGCTGGACATGATGGTTTGTTTAGGCAGCAGTTTTTATAGTTTATGGGATGGCAATGTTCATTTCGTTTATTTGGCGAGGTGTTAGGCTGCAGGGCAAAACTATGACTGCGAAATCATGGGGCACTGGTGCCATTCCACACGGAGAGCTGGCAGGACGTAGGCTTGGCAGCAAGTTGGGCATCGCACGTCGGCCTCAGTTTCCCTGGAATCTGATGAATGCCATTCCCGGTTCTGCTTGCGCTCGTTTCATTCTCTTTGGAGTTCACTTTCCGTATCGGATCCCTCTGCACCCTGGAGCCGGTAAACGTTTTTTGACTCTGCCTATTGTAAAGGGGTTCGTTTGAATCAGGTGTTCTACGCGGCAGTCAATCCCATCCGGCTGGAAAACAAGGAGTTCCTGGGTCCCATTCCTGGGTCTGAGACGCCGTCAGCAAAGTACCGAGCCGTTGCCTCGTTCCTGGAGCTGGGCGCCACGTTATTATTGAATATTTTTTTGCCGAGATCAAAATGCTGAGAAAAAGTGTCAATTTGACAACAGCGCGTTTCGCAAAACCTCCCCCTACGAAGCGATTGGATATTATCCTAGTTCGACATTTTCGGCGTGGACCGCTGTGATTTTTCAGTTTGAAATGATTTTTGAAATGAAATGTATTTTTTTTATATTTTTAAAAAAGTACAAGGGTTTCCAAAGGTTGAAATTGAAATGAAATGTTTGGATTGTACCAACATGAAACGTTTCCATGGACCCAAAGTGATTTTTCCTCCCAGAATTTCCTTTTGCGGGAAAATTCAATTTTTTGGTTTGTTCCAGGTTTGGAAGGGAACAAATTTAGAAACGGTGAAATTCCTTTGAAATGAAAAATCCAGGTCCTGCCCAGCTCTACTCATTTCTCCACAATGCTGCAGCACCTTGGAATTATTTTGGGGAAGTCCCATGGCCTGTGCGATACAGGAGGTCAGACTAGATGAGCACAGTGGTTCCTTCTGGCCTTGGTATCTATGGACTTCTGTGTCTTCAGGTTGTGACATGGCTTGGATGCCATGATGTTGCTGCATCACCATGTGCTGGTGAATCACCCCAATGAGAGAGCAACATCTTCAAGTTAGAACGTGGTAACTATGACCCTCAACATCAATTTAGGGCTTTTCAATCACCCGTGGGTTGTGAAGCAATTTCTGGGCGTGTGGCAGCTGGTCATGGGTGGGCCTAAAAGGTCTAGAGATGGATCTCACTTCAGGGAACATCCTGAAAGTTGGATGGAGGTTTTCATTGTGTGTTTTCTCCTTCTCCTCTCTAGCACCTTTCATTCCAGGATAACAAAGTGTTTTGTGCATATTAATGTGAAGCCTCAAAACTCCCTTTTGAGGAAGTGTCATTAGCCCCACTTTATAGTGGAGAAAACTGAGACACAGAAAGGTGAAGTGACTTGCCCAAGGTCCTACAGTGAGTCAGTGGCAGAGTGGGGATTAGAAGCCAGGGGTCCTCAGGAATGAAGCATCTCCCTAAAGCAGAAGGAAGCTAGTCTAGTCAGCCCTTTAACCATTACACCATCCTGCCCTTTAACCAGTGCACTCTCCTGGCCCTTATTAGAAGTGTTTGTACATCTGTAGTGGCAACACTGATGAAATCTTGGCCCCAGTGCAGTCAATAGCAAAACACCCATTGACTTCAATGGGGGTCAGAATTTCACCCGATGTCAGTAAATTTTGCATAGGGCCCACCTGCCCCTGAGCACTAACTAGCTCATGTTCGGGGAGGATTAAGGTGAAATGGGACCCACAAACCACACCCCCTGCTTTAGCCCCTTTGCCAGACAAACGGTCCTTCCTACACCCCATCCATCCGGGAAATATTCTGCTGTGAGAACTGCTGGCTCGTCAGCCACGTGGAACTGCCAGACACAAATGTGACCTGCATGTGTAGGGAACATGGGACAGCACAAAAATGGCCATCAGGGGAATCGGCCAGGACCCCAGAGAGAACCAAGCCTGGTACAGGGTCACTCTATCCCCTGCCCGGAGTGGTACTTCCTGGAATGAGACATGCTGTCTGGCTAGCATTGGGTTACCAACCCCGGTTGTCCTTCTCTGAATGGCACAGCCTTGTACAGTCATAGATTTTAAGGCCAGAAGGACTCCGATGATCAGCTAGTCTGACCGCCTGTATACCACAGTCCTGAAAACGTCACCCCGTGATTCTGGCAGTAGGACAGCCTGTTTCCATTTAAAGCCTCCCGGTGATGATGAATTTGCCAGGTCCCTTGCTAACCTGTTCCAAGGATTATTTCCCCTCGGTGCATCTGGTTTCCCTTTTGAACTTTCCTGGCTGCAGCTTCCAGCTGGTGGATTTTGTTCTGCCTCTGCCAGCTACCTAAAAGAGCTCTCTACGACTGATATATTCTCTTGGCATAGGTATGGATGGATAGGGCTTCTGAGTTTAGGTTTTAACTGATAAACACTGATCAAACACCCTGGATACAGAACCCCAAAACAAACCAGTGTTTATCCAGTAAACACTGAAAAACACCAGGAATGGTTTCTCAATTCACGTGGATTTCACCCCTTTCCCAGCCCTGTGTGTTTACATAGGTGATCATAGAATCATAGAATATCAAGGTTGGAAGGGACCTCAGGAGGTCATCTAGTCCAACCCCCTGCTCAAAGCAGGACCAATTCCCAACTAAATCATCCCAGCCAGGGCTTTGTCAAGCCGTGCCTTAAAAACCTCCAAGGAAGGAGACTCCACCACGTCCCTAGGTAACGCATTCCAGTGCTTCACCACCCTCCTAGTGAAATAGTGTTTCCTAATATCCAACCTAGACCTCCCCCACTGCAACTTGAGACCATTGCTCCTTGTTCTGTCATCTGCCACCACTGAGAACAGCCGAGCTCCATCCTCTTTGGAACCCCCCCTCAGGTAGTTGAAAGCAGCTATCAAATCCCCCCCTCATTCTTCTCTTCTGGAGACTAAACAATCCCAGTTCCCTCAGCCTCTCCTCATAAGTCATGTGCTCCAGACTCCTAATCGTTTTTGTTGCCCTCCGCTGGACTCTTTCCAATTTTTCCACATCCTTCTTGTAGTGTGGGGCCCAAAACTGGACACAGTACTCCAGATGAGGCCTCACCAATGTTGAATAAAGGGGAACGATCATGTCCCTCGATCTGCTGGCAATGCCCCTACTTATACAGCCCAAAATGCCGTTAGCCTTCTTGGCAACAAGAGCACACTGTTGACTCATATCCAGCTTCTCATCCACTGTGACCCCTAGGTCCTTTTCTGCAGAACTGCTACCTAGCCATTTGGTCCCTAGTCTGTAGCAGTACATGGGATTCTTCCGTCTTAAGTGCAGGACTCTGCACTCGTCCTTGTTGAACCTCATCAGGTTTTTTTTGGCCCAATCCTCTAATTTGTCTAGGTCCCTCTGTATCCGATCCCTACCTCTAGTGTATCTACCACGCCTCCCAGTTTAGTGTCATCTGCAAACTTGCTGAGAGTGTAGTCCACACCATCCTCCAGATCATTAATAAAAATATTAAACAAAACCGGCCCCAGGACCGACCCTTGGGGCACTCCGCTCGAAACCGGCTGCCAACTAGACATGGAGCCATTGATCACTAAGTGATGTCCCTACTCACTGGCTTGTATCTATGGGCTTGTCTACATGGAGCACCACTGCGGACTACAGGAGTGTGACTTCTAAAGCGCACTAGCGTGTTGCGCATTAATTGGTCTGTGTAAACCTTGCTGGTGTACACCAGTTTCCCTACTGCACATGAACATGGTGCAGTTTGCAGCAGTACGAGGTGTATATCCAAAGGGAAAGCCCTGAAAATAACCCAGTTTTTGGACATCTACACAGAACTCAAAAATGGCTAAAAATACCCTTCCCCAATGAAATTAATAAACCCTGAAAAATAGGACCCTACTCATAGACCACATATAAATTGCCTTTTAACCATCTTGGATAAACTAAGCAGATGGAGCTCCATTAGACTCTCACTGGAAGGCAGGTTTTGCAGACCTTGAATCAACCGTATAGGTTTTTTCTAAACCTTCGCCAGTTGTTGAACATCCTTTCTGAAGTGTGGACACCGGGTCTGGATAAAGTCTCTCCAAGGCCGTAGACGGAGGTAGGGCCATGGAGTGAGACGGGTATTTCAGAGAAGACGCTGGCGCTCTTGGTAGAACTTAATAACGCTGAGCAAAGACTTTCGGAGGAAGGTCAGTACAAGGAGATGGGTGTAGGTCTGTGTCATAGGGTTGGATGGGAAACGGATTCCCCGTCCCATGAACATTTATCAGATTTTGAACATTTTTCCCGTCCCAAGTTGGGATGAAAAGTGGAACTCTCGAACATTTTCATGACCCCCCCCCCCCACACCCCCCCTCCTCCAAATTTCACTTCGGGCCAATTGAAACATTTATTTCAATTTCAACCATATTTTTTTAAACAAATGTCGTTACTCTAATTAGCTTTAATTTCTGAACAAAAAGGCTTTTTGACTTGGAAAACCATTTAGAAAACATCAAAACGGGACCTTTTTGGAACTTCGAAACTTTCTTTTCAACCGCTGAGGAATTCGTCGTCACTCAGCCGTTCCTGAGAAAACGTGCAGTTTAGAAAAATGGACATTTTGGGGAGAAAAAACCGGTTCATCGAAGAATTTCTGACTAGCGCCACTGTCACTGCCATGAGTTTACGGGCTGAGAAAAGCAGGATTTGCATTTCTTTGTTAGTCATCTGCAATTTTTCTGTCGAGAAGGCACAAGCAAACCTTGCCCACAAACGAACTGTTCCCTAGCTCTCAGCTAAAGCAGTTCGGGGCAGCTGGGAATGTTTTCCACACAGCTCTACCCACCCGGCCCATACAAGGCTGAAGATCCAGAAATCTGGAGGGTTTATGCAAATGATTCAATGTCCTCATTTGCATACTGAATGAATATGCATAAATATGCGGAAGTAGCTGGATTGTAAAACTGCAGGTTTCAGACCATGCCACCCATGACCTACCAGTCTCTCCTCAGTGCTTTCTGTAGTTCTCCATCTCAGCTGTACACCCCTCGGGAACAAAGCCCGGAGGAGCAGCTTGTGACCAGGGGGCAGCTCAGCCCCAGGGCCCCTCCTGCATCCCCACGGCTCTCCTGCAGGAATTGCGGCCTGTAGACAATGCAGCAGAGTTGGACCAAATTTTGCTTATGTTAGAAAAAAAAGACATCAAAGCCGTGTGGTCGGATGAAGCATAAAACCAAGGTGCTTTATGTGTGTGTGAGTTGCATGATTGTGAGTGTGTATGTGTGTGTAGGAGAGTGCGTCTGTGTGTGAGGGTGTATGTGTGCGTGTGGATTTGGGAGAAGTTAAAAGATTTTGTGGGGCTTTTGACTTCCTCTTCCCAAGGATCCGGGTGTGAACCCAGGTGTCCTCCAAATCCTCATCTTGCCATGGGCAGAAGCCAACACCCCCCCAATTCAATTTTCCCTGGTGTTTCAATGGGAGCTGCCTTCCTCTTCTTCGCACCCAGCCCATGGCCCTATTATGCCAGGTCTCTGCTCTGGGAGGAAGAATCTCCTCCCCTCCACTTGCTGCATTTCCGCTAGCATTGCTGATCTAGTGTTCATTTACCCACTTCCTCCCCTGGGCTCTGATCTCCATGTTCCCTACGGGCGCTGGCTCTTTCCACCTTAGTGCGGGTGAAGAGGGGCTTTCCGCTGGCGTGGGCTGGCCCGGCGGGGTCCAGTGGGCGTCCCACTCTCGCGCTGGGCTAACGCCAGAGGAGTGAGCGCGAGGGCCGGTCCCTGGGGTGAATGCTGCCATGAAGACTCAGGTTACTCTCACAAACGCTGAATTCACACAGCTACGTGCGGGCCTGGCTGCCGCGGGTCCTCGCCAGGCACTGCACGCTGGGGTGGGGGTGGGGGCAGCAGGGTGACCCAGTGCTGCAGCAGGCTGCGTGACCTCGCCAGGTGTCCCGCTTGGTGCGGGGCGACAGGGGGGATGAATAATCGCAGGGTCGGAATAAAACGGAGGCATAAGGCAAAGCACAGAAACGGCACCAGGCAAACTGCGTTCGTGGCCCAAGCAGCCGGTCTGTCCTCTGGGTTAACGCACATCAGGGCATCCCTCCCCAACACCGCAGCGTGCCGAGGTTCTTCAGGGCAGCTGCACTGGCAGCAGGAGCCTGGAAGCAGCATTTACCAGCCTTGCCCCCTAGAACGGGTGAGCAGGGCCGTGGGGTGGCAGTGGCTTCGGACAGGGTCATTCCCGAGGCGCCATCGCCATGCGCCACAAACAGGGCTTTCACCACGCCTTTGGATGCAGACCTGCCGTGCAGCCGCTGAACCAGAGCGAGGGATTTATACCCATGGGAATGGGGAGAGAGGCAAGAACATAGACCGGTCATATCCCATCCATGTGACCAGTGCTAGCCGGACCGGGGCTCTCACTGGACGAACACGGGTTTCCGCTACACCTGCTGCTAGGTCAGGACTGGGGCGGATGCTGGACTCTGCCGTATCTCCAGCAAACCCGGCATCACTCGAGGAATTGCTCTGCCCTCAGCCGGCCCTGGGATAATGTGACTGGACCGTTGTCCTCAGTTGCTGTAGGCCTTGCCAGGGCCACCAGATACTGCCCAGACCCACAGTCCTGGGCCAGGAAGGTTCTGGCCTCACAAGGGTTTGGGAGAATAAGAAAGAGCTTCTCTGAGATCTGGTCTCCCAGGGCAGACACTGGCGAGGGGTTTCTTTGGTGTCGGACAGTCCCCGCCCCCGCCGGGGCTCTGCTGTGCTTGTGGGACTGGGGGTCCGTCCTGGAAGTACATGGCCCACAGGCCGTGCTCAGTCTGCAGTGCAAGCAGCGGCGGCTCTGCTGCAAACCTTGGCTCCCCTCCCGCGCGATGGCTTCCTCCCCGCTCAGACAGCCGTCGACTGCTTGATGCTGTGGAAGCTGACGCGTGTCGGCGACGTAGGGATGGACATGGCTCTGGCCACGCGGGCGCGGATCGAGTGCTTGTCCTGCCACCGGTGCCATCTCTTCCGCACGGCGGAACGGACCTGCCAACACATTGCAGAGCACACAGGGCATTTACTACCCATGCTGCTGGAGAGGGCTTTCCTTAGCCCTGAGGCAAGACTGGGGCAAGATTTCCCTCTCCCATTGCACAGCCTGGCAATACACCTAAGAACTAAGGGGCTGAAAGCAGGTTACAGACATCAATGAACTAAGCCCTCAAACTCCCCAGGAGGAAGGGACAGTTCATGGCATTATCCCGTTTTTGTAAATGGGGAAACTGAGGCACAGAACAGGGACATGACTTGCCCAAGGTCACCCTGGAGTTCTGGGGCTTGCCTTATGCTGGAGGTCAAACTAGGTGATCAGAGTGGAGCCTTCTGATCCCCAGAGCCTATGAATCTGTGAAAAATGCTTATCCCAGTGTGCCGGGGGGAGGGGTGAGGGAGATGGGGGGGGGGTCGTTGCAATGGGAGATTCGAGCCCAGCAGTTCTGACTCCAAACCCTTTGCTCTAACCGACAAGGCAGGCTCCTTCCCAGAGCCAGGAACAGGTCCCAGGAGTCCCGACTCCCAGGCCCGGCTAGTCCCTCTCCATGGTTGGACCCTGACCTCAATAAATCCTGTCTTTAAAGGCTGACAGGAAACGACAGCAATGAACCCAGCTCCAGGAACACGAAAGAGCGAGCAGGAGATAAATCCGGACTCCGGCTATAAAAAAAAGGGGCTAGCGGCTCATAAACCTGAGGCTGTCTAGTGTGTGACGGAGGGCAAGTGAACGATGGGCTCACAGAGTTTCTTTATTACTTGTCTGGTCCGCATCTGTGTCATTTCTAACCTAGAGCGGCGCAGATGCCTTGGGTGGCTGGTAAATATCAGAGATTCACAGATTCCAAGGCCAGCGGGGCCCATTGTGCTAATCTAGTCTGACCTCCCGTACGACGCAAAGAATACTGCCCGAAGTTACTGCAGAAGGGCGGGTTGATTGGCAGCAAGGTGCGAATTCCACCAACGGGGACAGAAGCCGCTGGGGTGGATGAAACAGCTCCGTGGGGACAGATTTCTTAGTGCCCGTCATTAGCCTTCCAAATATTTAACACCCGGAGGACTGGGCTGCTAACTAGCTGGCACTGCCCTGTTTCTGTCCCCCTGGCTCTGAGCTACTCGAGTTAGTGCAGGGGACGATTGTTTCCCACGGAACCGCCCCAGCCGGCAATCCGGTCTTGGCGCATTGTTTGCGCCGTGGGCACTGCAGCAGAACCAGGCCACACGCACTGCGCAGTCCAGCAGCGTGTCCTGTCCGACAGCGGAGCTAGGAATGGGATCGAAGAGCCTGGTCTATGTAATGGCTACTGGGCGTGTCTGCATCTCAGCGCTTCATGACCCTGGGCGAGCACTGAAATTCTGGAGGGCTCTGAAATTCCCAGGTCGTCTCCAGCGGGGTCCCATCCTAAGCTGCCTGTTATTTGCTCACTGGGGCAAATGCCAACTGCTCGCCCAGCTGCAATCCTATGGGAGGCCCCAACAGCCCGGTGATGAGATGGAGAATCATAGAATATCAGGGTTGGAAGGGACCTCAGGAGGTCATCTAGTCCAACCCCCTGCTCAAAGCAGGACCAATCCCCAACTAAATCATCCCAGCCAGGGCTTTGTCAAGCCGGGCCTTAAAAACCTCTAAGGATGGAGATTCCACCACCTCCCTAGGGAACCCATTCCAGTGCTTCACCACCCAACCTAGACCTCCCCCACCGCAACTTGAGACCATTGCTTCTTGTTCTGTCATCTGCCACCACTGAGAACAGCCGAGCTCCATCCTCTTTGGAACGTCCCTTCAGGTAGTTGAAAGCAGCTATCAAATCCCCCCTCATTCTTCTCTTTTGCAGACTAAATAATCCCAGTTCCCTCAGCCTCTCCTCGTAAGTCATGTGCCCCAGCCCCCTAATCATTTTCGTTGCCCTCCGCTGGACTCTTTCCAATTTGTTCACGTCCCTTCTGTAGTGGGGGCCCCAAAACTGGATGCAATACTCCAGGTGTGGCCTCACCAGTGCCGAATAGAGGGGAATAAACACTTCCCTCAATCTGCTGGCAATGCTCCTACTAATGCAGCCCAATATGCCTTTAGCTTTCTTGGCAACAAGGGCACACTGCTGACTCATATCCAGCTTCTCGTCCACTGTATTCCCCAGGTCCTTTTCTGCAGAACTGCTGCTTAGCCAGTCAGTCCCCAGTTTGTAGCAGTACATGGAGACACAAGGAGGCTGCTGCTGCTGGCGTGAGCTGCAGAGGAGAAGGCTCTTGCACCCACAGCGTCTATAGGGTTGGGCAGAGAGGATGCCAATGCTAAAGGAAGGGAGTGGGGAGGGCTGTACAGAGAGAGAAGGTCAAAGGCGGAGTGTGGGGTGGATTTTGAACTGGGTCCAAACCGTGTTGGTGAGTGGGGTGCGTGGGGCCATGCTTCTTTGACGAGGAAGGCAGCATTCTGCACTTACTAGACTCTGGAGAGCTGTGATTGGGGATGTGGCTGGACAGCAGCTGCTGCAGGGGAATAGACTTGTAGGAACCAAGGAGGAAAGAGGCAGATGGGAAGTCGTAGCATATGCGGGAGGTTGCAGAAGGAAACGACAGGCAGATTTGCGACACAGGAGACGAGGGAGGAGAAGCGGAGTTTAGGGTCAAAGATCACAGCAACAGGAGGTCAGAGAAAGGAGCTTTTTACCTGGTCCACATGGGAAAAAAATTGCCTCTCTCCACCTGCTACAAATTCAGTAGCTGGCAGCATCTTTCCCTTGTTCTGGGCTTCAAATGTCTTTATGACTTAGACAGGAAACATATGATTTGGAACACACATCTCAAATAATATCATTGTTATCTCAAATAATATTTTGGTTATATGTAGCCCTGCCATTGTTATCAGATGGCAGTGCTACATAGAGACCTACACATTCTTTTTCTTAGTGTGTGAGCAAGTTTTTAGTCTTGGAAGAAATGCCATGTTGGTTTTCAGATACGGTTTCCTTGGGGGGAGCTGTTGCAAGTAGCAGGAGAGTTTGCTCTCTCCCTTAACCTCTGTAAGCAGAGTCTGCTCCGGGGATAGAGTTGGGAGCTGGGCATTGGGATTTGGGCTGTGTGTACTGAAAGAGGGGATTGCCTGTGTGCTATCTGTGCCCACCTCTGTTCCAGGACTGATGAATATACAGTAAATAAACAAATTACACCAATATCCCCAGCCTCCACATTACTGATTTCTCCTCTAACAGGAAGCGGACTTGCAAGGTCCCGACAGCTGCTACCTCTCTGCAGAGGGGTGCTGTTATTATTTACCACGTGCTGAATGCCAAGAGGGCTCAGGGCACGCAGAGGAGTCATGGCTCTGCCCCAAGGAGGTTACAAGCTCGTCTGCAGGGAAGCTAATAACAGAGTCACACATCGGCTCCCTGGTCTCCAACACACTGCATTAAAACCCTCCATGGGTAACCTGGAGAAAACAGCACGGGCCTTCCTTTGTCCCCATCTTGGCTGCCCCCTGGTGGGCTCAGGAAGGATTCTGAGCTGCTTCCCAACAGTCCCTCTTGGAAGTCCCCCTTTCAGTTCCTCCGCTGCCCTGGCTAATTTGCAGCAATGCATCCTGTCACCAAGATGTCTGTCCCTTCCCCTCCATGCATTGCAAAGCCCCCTGGGTTCCTAGTTCATCCCGTCCCACATCTCCCCTCGGGGTTTCGAGCTCCCCAGGAGCCATTCCAGCACATTTATCTTTTCAGCCCCTTTCTAGCGAATGTTCCTTCCCTGTTGGGAGTGGCTGTTGGGGCAGGAATGCTGTCATGTGATTAGAGGAAGGGACTTGCAGTGGGACTCACTGGCTCCTATGCCTGGCTTTGGGAGGAAGTGCTGGTTAGTGGTTATAGCAGGGAAGTGGGCGTCAGGACTCCGGTTGCACTGCAAGCTCTGCCACTGACTCACCGCATGACCCTTCGCCATGTTACTTCTCGAGTTCCCTCTCTGTAAATAGGGACCACGCTAATTCTCCACGGGTGTGTTGTGAGGATGAATCGGTAAATAGCTGAGTGCCCAGCATTGTGGCCCAAATCCTCAAATACTTCCACCAGAAGTTAGGAGCCTAAACACCTTTGAGGATCTGGGCCTATTTAGAACATAAGAACGGCTAGACTGAGTCAGACCAAAGGTCCAAGGTCCATCTAGCCCTGTATCCTGTCTTCCCATAGTGGCCAATGCCAGGTGTTTCAGAGGGAATGAACTGGCCAAGAGATCATCAAGTGATTTGCTCCCTGGTCACTTTTGGCCTGACCGACCACAGCAAACTGCCTGTTATCAAAGCATAAGCCATGAAGGGGCTTAGAGTCATCCTCAGTGACTGAACAAACCCTCCCGCCTTGGTGATGGGGAGGGCAAAGCCAATCTCATCCTTCTCTTCTCCTTCTCATCATACTCTGGTTTCTCTTCAAATTGTCTAAATCTTTCACCTTTAACTAGACCATTTTGCTGCTTTGCAGAAGGTGGGAAACAGTTTAAAAAAGAGTTTTTGAAAATAATAATAATAATAAAAAATCCATCCACAAAATTCCCAGGACAGAAACAGCCACGGTGGGTGAATTCTTTAGCAAACACCAGACTGTTAGCTCACAGAGCTGCTGGCTTGGGCGCTGTCTCTCCCCGAGGGAAGGCTATGGACGGGTACAGCAAAGAGATGCCATGTTTTCCTTCAGCGTCGGAAAAGGCTTTTTATGTTCCCCGGCCCCCGGGATCTGTCTTGTACCCAGCCATCCGTTCTTACAGCTAGCAAAGGTGTGAAAGCAATTGCAGGGAGGCATAATACTTAGTCCTGGCAGGGGACTGGACTAGACGACCTCTCGAGGTCCCTTCCAGTCCTATGATTCTACGTGAAACATGGAAACACAACTGATCAGCCCAGAGAGGGGCTTTGGTTCCTTTTCTCTTGGGTCACAATGCGCTAGGTTTGGGGAAACGATCCCTGTATTCAAACAGATGGTGCACCCGACACTGGTGTGCAGCCCCGGCAAACTCTGCTCATCTTAGGAAAGGTTTACAGGGACACCACCTAATGGACAAATTGAACTGGGGTCTCGTCGTGACAGTTTTCCCATGCACTGCGTCAAAATAGCCTCACGCGCCTTCGGCCAGCCCAGCGGCGCCTTTCTCCGGCCACGGGAGCAGAGTTGGCTGAAATGTCCTCATGGAAAAGGAAGTTAAATGAAAAATGGGGCCAAACTGAACATTTGTATGGAAAGTTTCGTTCCGGCCAAAATTTCCCAAGGCCTAATTGTTTTTTTCAGTAAAAGCCTTTGGTGAAAATATTCGGTTTTCAGGAAAATGTTTGGTTTCTGATTTGCAAAATCTGACCCTTTCCACCAAAAAAACCCCAACCCCAACTTTTTCCCCCCATAAATGTTTTGAAGATACTGAAAATGTTTCTGTTTTCAGTTTTCCTTTTTTGTTGAAAAAAACCCCAAACCCAAGACAGTTTAATGGGAAATTCTGATGAAAATGATTCAAGCCTGAGGTTTTCCCATGACGAATACTTGCCATTTTTTGACCTGCTCTCCCCAGAAGTGACGTGTGTGTGTGTCTCCTGCTTACCCAGTTTCGTACCTTGGAAATTAATCCCAAGGAGGGCGACAATCCCAGAATCTGTTCAGTACAGACAGGGAATGTAGCAACTGCATACAGCTGCGACTGCCTCTTGGCCTTCCGGACGATGCAGTGCTGAGTTTGTTCCTGAAATGCAGGGCCGGGAGCTGGCGTATTTGTGAATAGCGCCGATTACAAGCTCTGCGGGAACAGATCTGGCATTGCCGGGGGAAGAAAGCTCCCATTGATGAATTGACTCCTTTGGGACCACACCCAGCTTTGCCAATGCACCTCGGTCCCTGGCCTTTAATACCCCTGCCAGCCGATTTGGACACATGTTAAAACCACCATACTTGTTTCATTATGGCTCCAAGTGTCAGGAAACCCCAGCTCTCCCAGGGTGACCAGTCCTGGGCCCATCTCCCCATCCATGAATACAATCGTTAGATTGGGCGGACAGGGCTGTTTCATTTGCCAGGCACAGAGCGAACCGCCATGTGGAAGCCATAAAGCTGAGAGATCCCCTTCCATCCCCCCACTTCACTAGGAAATGCTCACCTCGCTGTTCAGGAAGCAATAGAAGACGGAGACAAAGAAGCCCTGGAAGAAAGAAACACAGTCATTATGATCTGTGGGGGACCAGTGCCCACGGGCTGTTCTGGGGCTGATAGCCACCTGCATTGCATTGATCAGACATGTCCATTCTTGTCATGTGTGCTTTACTTAAAGCCCGAGCTCCTGGAGTCAAGTGATGGAGTGAGAATCTTGGCTGCCATTAAACAAAACAGGAAGTTTCTACCCCTGTGGTTGCAGAGAAAAGCTGGAAATGTGAGCGGGGTGTGACTGACAGGCCCAGAAATCAGAAGGCAAAGAAATAGACTCCCCTCAATTCATGTCTTTAATCTCATGATTTTTAAGCCAATCTCTGGTTTGTTGAGGTGTGGGGCCAGCCTGGCTAAAATCTTGCCATTTCACAGGGTTTTGTGTAGAACCCAGCAGTGAGGGTGGCCACTGGTCTCAATACGGGTTGTAAAAATATGCCTGAAGTTGCATCTGATGCAACTTCAGGCACATTTTCCAGCTGGGTGACATATCTCCTGGGGGCGTGGGCCTGCCGGTGCTGGCAGGGCTCTGGCCAGGAGGGGGCGATGCTGGGTGCATACCTGGAAAGATTCCAGGAAGGAGTTGAAGTAGATGAAAACGACCCCGGAGATCTCGTCTTCCCCCGGATTCACGAAGAACAGCATGTAGGTGATGCCCAGCAGCGGCAGCAGGACCAGCGTGGCCTTCACTGCTTTCCTGAGGAAGGAACATGGGGTTCAACCACAGCAGATTCCTCCCCCGGCCACTACCATGGGCCGATCCGAGCGGGGAGGCTGGGATCAATGTACAAAATATCTAGCCATGACAGAGTAGGTCGTGCGGGTGGGGCAGTGGCACTGTATGTGAAAGAAAGCATGGAATCAAATATTGGAAAAATCTTAAATGACTCAAACTGTGCCAGAGAATCTCTCTGGATAGAAGTTTCATCCTTGAATAATATAAGTATAGCAGGAGGAATATACTACCGACCACCTGACCAGGAAGATTAGGGAGGCTAAACAAACAGAAAATCCAATAATAATGGGGGATTTCAGCTAGTCCCATAGTGACCGGGTATGTGTCACCTCAGGATGGGATGCAGAGATAAATTTTCTAGACACCAAACTTTCTAGACTGCTTCTTGGAGCAGCTAGTCCTGGAGCCTACAAGGGGAGAGGCAGTTCTTGATTCAGTCCTAAGTGGTGCACAGGGGCAGGTCCAGGAGGTGAATATAGCTGTACCGCTGGTAATAGAGGCCATCCTGTAATGAAATTGAACATCCTTGTGGGGAGGAAAATATCAAAGAAGCTCACCACAGTAGCATTTAACTTCAAAAGGGGAACTACATAAAAATGAGGAAGCTAGTTAAACAGAAATTAAAAGAAACAGTCACAAGAGTGACATGCCTGCAAACTGCATGGGAATTTAAAAAAAAATCATAACAGAGTCAACACAGCTTTTGTAAAGGGAAATCATGCCTCACTAATCTAGTAGAATTCTTCGAGGGGCTCAGCAAACACGTGGACAAGAGTGATTCCATCGATATAGTGTACCTGGACCTGGAACTAAAATGATTAGGAGGTGGAACAGCTTCCATATGGGGAGAGATTAAAAAGACTGGGACTGTTCAGCTTGGAAAAGAGACGCCTAAGGGGGGATAAGATAGAGGTCGATAAAACCATGACTGGTGTGGACAAAGTGAATAAGGAAGTGTTATTTACCCCTTCACACAAGAACCGTGGGTCACTCCAATGAAATTAATAGGCAGCAGGTTTATAACAAACATAAGGAAGTATTTCTTCACACAACACACAGTCAACCTGTGGAACTCATTGCCAGGGGACGTTGTGAAGGCCAAAAGTATAACAGGGTTCAAAAGAGAACTAGCTACGTTCATGGAGGATAGGTCCATCAATGGCTATTAGCCAGGAGGGGCGGGGACACAACCTTGTGCTCTGGCTGTCCCTAAGCCTCAGAAACCGTCTAGGTAAGTGCAAAGCCATCTTCGTCTGAACCATGTGCTAGGTACATCCTGGCTCCTGTCCTGCAGGGGAAGCTCCTGTAAGAAAGGCCGTCCCATGGGAATGAGCCCCCTACATATTTTTAAAAATCTGGACCAGCATCCCAGCAAGACCCCTGGAATATTAGGACTTGGCAATTGTCTCTTTTTGGAAAGTGCTGCCCAGCAGAGGAAGGGTTAAATTTTCTGTCCCACGTGCTGGCGGGCAGGTGTTTGAGCTGCATCGATTAATTCCTCCTACTTAGTCCTTTGCTTTGCTCCCAAGTGGCGATTTCATTCTCACCTCCGTGCCTGGATTGGCAGGGCCAGCTTTGGGGAGCAGAAGGGTGGCTCCCATTGCGGGAGGCGTTTGCAAAGGCAGTCATTTAGCAATTCCGCTAATTGCTCCCTTTAGTGAAGGACCCAGCAGCTCGCGGTCTCTGGCCTGGGCTCGCTGGCTGGCAGTTTCAAAAGCCTTGAGAGATTAGGGTGATTATGGTTAATGGGGGCTGTGCTCTGAAGTCACTTTGGTGCTTTTCAGAGGAAGACCCCAGCCTCGGAAAGCCTGGCCCTTCACACCCCCTGACCCGTCGCTGGTATCATTGTCCTTTTTGCCTGAGTCCCTGTCAGTGTGAAAGTTGCCAGCACCCCTTGGAGCCCCAATGCATCTGCAGGAACTGAAGGAGATCATTTATTAATGAGGGCTCCAGATGGATTCAGAGACAGTGCTGCTGAAATGCAGCCACCTCTGGGGTGGGGAGTGGCAAAGTACTTGGGAGGAATGGCCAGGAACAGCAGGGCAAAACCAGAGCGCTCTCATAGCCAGGAGCAAGGATCTTTAAATAGGGTTGCCAACTTTATACTCACACAAAACCAAACACCATTGCCCCACCTCCTGCCCCGCCCCTCATCCAAGGCCCCGCCTCTTCCCCACCCCTTCTCTGAGGCTCACTCCATCCTCCCCTCCCTCTGTCGCTTGCTCTCCCCACCCTCACTCACTCGCTCATTTTCACTGGGCTGGCTCAGGAGGGTTGGGTGTGGGTGGGGTGAGGGCTCCAGCTGGGGGTGTGGGCTCTGGGGTGGGGCCAGTGATGAAGGGTTTGGGGTGAAGAAGTATGGGAGGGGGCTCTGGGCTGAGGCAGGGGGTTGGGGTGTGGGAGGGGGTATGGGCTCTGGGCCGGGGGTGCGGGTTCTGGAGTGGGTCCAGAAATGAGGGGTTCAGGGTGCGGGAGGGGGCTCTGGGCTGGGGCAGGAGGTTGGGGTGCAGGGGAGGTGCAGGCTCTGGTGTGGGGCTGGGGATGAGGGATTTGGGGTACAGGAGGGAGCTCCGGGTTGGGGCTGAGGGGTTCAGAGTGTGGGAGGGAGCTCCGGCTGGGGGGTGCAGACTGTTGGGGTGGGGCTGGGGATGAGGGGGCAGGGATGTAGGAGGGTGCTCCGGGCTGGGACCGAGGGGCTCAGAGGGCAGGAGGGGGATCAGGGCTGGGGCAGGGGGTTGGGGTACGGGGGTGGGAGAGGACTCTGGCTGGGGCTGCGGGCTCTGGGGTGGGGCTGGGGACGAAGGGATTTGGGGTGTAGGAGGGTGCTCCGGGCTGGGACCCAGGGGTTCAGAGGGCGGGAGGGGGATCAGGGCTGGGGCAGGGGGTTGGGGCGCAGGAGGGACTAGGAGCCGGAGTTACTAGATTATTGAACTCAGGGAGCTGGCGCCCAGGGCCCCGGTGCTAGGAGCAGCCCGTGCCGAGGGTAGACCAGAGAGGCAAGGCCGGGGCATTCCCATGCCGTGACAACTGCCCAGCTTTTGAAAGGCCCATAGAGGCCTTGGGCAGCCGGTGGCTAGTCGGGGCAGCTCTCCATGGTGCTTGTACGCTAGGAGAGAAGTGAATTGGGGGCCCTCCTCAGCCAACCTGTCACTCCGCAGCGCGGAGTGGCACTCTGGCCTGCATGCTGCTACCTGTACTGCATGGTCTCCGAGGTGGTCGAGGCTCGGAGCTTGGTCATGAGGATTCGGACGATGTTGAATAAGAAGATGAAGTTGATCTGCCAGAGACAAAAGGTGGAAAGTCGCCAGTGTTCACACGGCTCCCACGCCTCACCCCGCGCGCCATGGAACGATCCCGAAAGGACTCCAGAAAAAATAAAATCTAGTGCCCAGAGAACAGCTCCCGAAAGTCTTGCATAGCACTAGCCTTCTGCCTCTGGACACTTGCACTGGGTCCTGATTTCACGCCCACGGGGAAAGAGGTTTGTGTTTCATTCCATTTCCTAGCAGGCATCCGTCCATAGCATTAAGTTCCCCTAGTAGCTGGCACAATTGGTCCCTCCTTAAAGGATCGGGAGTGGACTAGCAGGCAGGATTGGGGTTTATGGACAGAGTTGCAGGTACGGCGCTCAGGGCTGTAACAGCAGGGGGTGGGGTGTCGCATCTCCTAAGCATACTGGATTTGGCAGGATGTGCCGTGCGTTTGGCTGTCAGGCACAAGCTCCTCACCCAACACCCCACACCCTAGGGGACGGCAGAGCCCAGAGCCAGAAGCCAAGGTGCTTAATTCTCACCTTGACTGGCTGGTGGTTCGGTTTCTGTGCCGCTCCCAACCCTTCTACTGACCCAGGCCTCTAACGCTGCAGCTCTGCAGCTAATCCACTCAGCCACGAAGCTTTCAAAGCCAACAGGCTCAATACGTGTGCGCTTTGGTTAGTCTGTCACTAACCTCGGCTCCAACCACTAGGCCATACTCCCCGCCCAGAGTCTGGACTCCTGCTCGCCGCTGTTCTCCTGCAGGCTAGCAGTAGTTTGCAACCCACTGGCCAAGCGTGCATCAAATCCTTCTCTAGTGGCTACTCTGCATATCATGTTATTTATCATGATTATTACGGTCACGCCTAAGGACCAATCACGAATGGGGCCCCACTGTGCCAGGTGCTGTACAGACGTAGGATAGTTGCTGGTCTCTGCCCCGAGGAGCTTACAAGTGAAATAGAGCCGCCAGACCCGGAGCAGGGAAGGGGTAGAAACACACTAGCCCTGGGACGGCAGCAAATGCCATTATTTTGGGGGGGGGTGAGTTAGGAGGGGATCGGCTGAACAGAAAGAGAAGGGAAGGGAAGTGGACGAGGGGGACAGGGCAGGGGCGATGGGAAGTTCTCTGAACGTCCCAAGGTTCCTGCTTTGCCTGCTTCTGCTCTGAACAGCTGGAGTCCCTGGCTGGTTCCTCTTGGCAGCTTTCCCCTCCAGCCATGGCTGCGTCTGTCACTCAAACGCTTTGCCCCTCCGGCTTCCTGAGTGTTTCTGGGGCTTCTCGGTCGGTCTGGGAGGCACCCCCGGCTGAGTGGTTTCTCCTGCGTAGGGCCATGCAGCTTGGCTGCCTCCCTGATCGTGGAGAAAGAAGGGCGGCTTGGATCTGGCTGCAGGTCAGGCCCAGGCATGTGTCCAGAGGGCCAGGGCTGGCTGCCAGGAGAGGTGGATAGCTAATGCTTTACATACATTAATGGAGATATCCTATCTCCTAGAACTGGAAGGGACCTTGAAAGGTCATCGAGTCCAGCCCCCTGCCTTCACTAGCAGGACCAAGTACAGTCCCACACAAGTCGCTGGGCTCAATCCGGCGTCACTGGGTGAGCTTTAAGGGCTGGTGATAGACAGGAGGTCAGACTGGAACAGAGAATCCAATAGCCCCTCTGTAAATCTTATGTGACAGAGCCCCTCCATTTAGAGATGCAGCCAAGCCCCCGTCTCTTGGGGGTCGGTCACCAGATGAGGCTGAAACCTTAACCCTGTTTCGCTTCAGATGGTGGGAAAAAGCACAGCCCCCCCCGCCCTACTTCTCTGTTCCCGCTCCGGGGGTAGCGACAGGAGCTGGCTGGAGAATGCAGTTACCCCGATGGCTGCTTGGTGCCATCACAGCTCGGGGGGGGGGGGGGGAGGAGGGGGGAATCATCCCCCAAGGGCAGAAACTTGCAGAGAGAGCCGTGGTGCCAGGGAGGCGTGCATCAGAGCCAGCCTCACCCGGCCATGCCGCCCTGCCTCTGTGGCGGGCAGAGGATGAAAAGGCCTCATTACCCGTATGCTGGTAGGAGACAAGTGCTCTCTCCCCGGGGGCCAGTTCTGAGCAGACAGGCGCTGCTGCCCATCCATCCGGATGCCCCTCGGCCTTGAGCTGTGCGTCAGTGATTACCCTGGCATAAGGCGGGCATCAGACCCGGCCGAGCCAGACTCACTCACTGCACACAGGAGGAGATGCTGCTGCATGGCAGGGGGAACCCAGCCCTAGAGGGGAGCAGACCCGCCGAGAGCCGTGCCACCTGCCCTATACCCCTGGCACCCAGCGACTGATGTATTCATCTCAAGACAGCAGGTCTGATCTCAAAGAGCCAGACTCAAGTCTGGCCTAAGGGAGCATAACGTGCCCCAGGAGCCGAGCTGGACTGCCGAGGGGAGGGTGGAAAAGCTGGCTGCACCGTGCCCTGGGGTGATGGTGTAGGGCTGGCTACACTGCCTCGGTAGTGACCCCCCTTGCACTGGGGGGAATCATCTCCCATCGCTGCTTGGCACCTGGTCGAGCCAGCAGAGCTCTGGGCAAGTGAGCGACAATCTATTCCTTCCTGTGCATCCGCGACAGAACTCGCGGCCAATCAGCCACTCCTGTGAGGTTTTTAAGGCCCGGCTTGACAAAGCCCTGGCTGGGATGATTTAGTTGGGGATTGGTCCCGCTTTGAGCAGGGGGCTGGACTAGATGACCTCCTGAGGTCTCTTCCAACCCTAATCTTCTGTGATTCTATGAAACTCACTCAAGCCCCTGGGGCTGGCCCAGTGTATCAGACTGGAACGTAGCCAGCAATTCGGTTGACATCCTACCGAGGGCCTCATTTATTCCTTTATTCCTGGGGTTGCTGAAGGAGAAGGAAAAGACCCAGCTTGACTCTCAAATCCCAATGGATGTCTGTAGGAAAAGGATCTTTCTGATCGTAAATGGGGCCCATGTGCTGTGGAATCCCAGAGTTGCCCCAATCTTGCAGTCTCACAAGGGCAGAATTACATGCACTTATAAACCCTTTCTCCTCCATTTTTGGGGAAATTCATGGAGTCATTTCAATATGGTAAAATTTTTTGGGGGAGGGGGGTTATGGTTTTTCATCAAAAAACCTCAAAAATAACAATGTACGTTTTATTTAAAAAAAGCCATTTTTTTTGCTGGAAAAAAAGCGTTGATGAAAAAAACGTCAATCCCGCTCTAATTCTGACAGAGTCTTTCATGACTTCCATGATTTCCACAGGACCCCGCCTCGTTCAACACGCAGGCTGGACGGCACGCGGGGAAGGGGCACCTCAGTCACGTGGTGTTCTTTCTGGTCCTTGCTCAGCGGACTGACCCGTGTAAACAGGAGATGTGAAGGAGTGAGACATTTAGCACCTTCAAAGCATTTTATTAGCAAGACATTCGGGGGGGCAACTTCAGTGTCAGAGCTGGACTTTGTTCCAGGGGAGGGGAGAAGTGGTGGGAGATGGAGATGAGATGGAGAGCTGGAGGGGAAGGGTTACAAGACAGAGGGGTGGAGAAAGGGGCGAAAGAAAGAAAAAGAAAGAAGAGAAAGGTGAGTAAGCTTCTGTGAGTCCCGGAGGCAATCAATCCATTGCCTGGCAGCTTCCCTGCTTGCTGCTCCATTAATGAGGTCATGGGGGGAGCTGCAGACAGGGCCAAGCAAAACTGACACAGATTAAAAACGGTCTGGCTACCTAAAGGGCTGGGAAATGAGAAGCCAGGCCCAATTATCCAGAGGACTAGAGGGGAGGCCAGTTGATACCGGTGATTAAAAGCGCTGGGTATTATTACTGATTGGCGAGAAGGGAGGGGTAGCCACAGGGGCTTTTTCCCTCGCGCCAACATGTCCCAAGTCCCACCTGCCCCAGAGCAAAGCCAAGTCCTAGCGTGTCTCACTCCTTCACATCTCCTGTTCACAAGGGTCGGTCTGATCTCCTCAATCAGGCCCAGGCCGCTGGACAGCGACCAGTGTGCTGGCTCAGTTGCTGATTCCCAGCACTCTGCCCCGGGGCCCCTCCACTGGCTCGCCCTTCTCCACTGCATCAAACACAAACCGCTCGTCTTCGCTCTCACGGCCTAGCCCCGCCTCGGCTCTCGTTCGCTACCCAGACGCTGACGCCCCGCTCTGCTCGGCCAGAGACGCCAGCCTCCGGCGCCCGTTCGTGACATTTTCGGACAAGCACCTTTGTGCCCCTCATGCTCCCCGTAAACGTCAGCAAAACCACCTCATCGTCCTCCTCAAAACTCCCCTTTGCTGTGAGCCTGAAAAAAACCTCGACGCCGGTTAGGCAGCTGGTGTGCTGTTACCGTCTGCTGTCTGTTTTACCGACCGGGATTGTCTTGTATTCCCCTGGCTGTCACAGTCACCCATTGTCTCTCAACGTGATCCTTAGATTGTAGCTCTTTGGGGCAGACACTGTCATTTGGGTCATAGAATCATAGAATATCAGGGTTGGAAGGGACCTCAGGAGGTCATCTAGTCCAACCCCCTGCTCAAAGCAGGACCAATCCCCAATTAAATCAGTGCCTAGCCCAATGCTGCCCTGATCCATGCCTCGGGCCTGGAAATGCTACAAGAAGTAGATAATGTTACTAATCTGGGCAAGCCACTTTGCCATGGAATTCAGGATAGTGCCCATCTGGGATGGTTGGTAGATGTCCATGCGGACAGTGAGCTGTCTACATGGTACAGCTGACCTGATTCAGACCCAAGAAGGCGTTTGGCAGCTAGGAGAAGAGGGGAGCAGTGATAACCCTGCAGGGGGGGGGGACGTTTTGGAATTTGGGGGAGGCAGGAATGGGAGGGACAGACCCAGGGTTACAAGTGGGAGGGTGGTTTCCGGATGGGAGAGGAATCAAGCAGGGAGGGCCTCCTCCCAGCAGGGTGCAAAGGTGGGGTTGGAAGTTGGGGTGTAGGATAGCTTGGGGGTGCAGAAAGGGGATCAATTTTCAGCGTGATTTCCAGTTATTATTTATATGGTGGGAGCACCTGGAGGATCAGAGTGCAAGATGCTGTACAAATAGAAAAAGCCCAACGTGCTTAAGGAGTTTAAGGGAGCCAAAGGAGTCAGATTTTGCAGGGTGGTGGGGTTAGTAGCTGGGTCGGGATCGTACGGTTTGACGAGGGCCTTGTCTAGTTAGCCGCTCAACTGCACTGGATGGGACGTCCAGTGCAGAGCCGGGCAGCTACGTCACGTTCTAACCCGTCCTTCCTGCTCAAAGCAATGCTGGCCGGCTAGCTCCATCCCTGCACTGCTCTTTCTTTATCCCTCGCTCTCCCCGCTCACGTCACCCTGTCAGGGGGCTGCCAGCCAATCACAGTACAACGGCTGTCGCGGTACCCGCAGGCTTTCCCCAGGGGGCCCCACAGAAGCAGCGGAGTGTCAGACGCCCCGACTGGCTGGCTCTGGCACACCGCTCGGCGGGGTGAAACACTGAGGGGCATTTCGGGGGTTGTGGTTATTTCCAAGGAGACCTCAATCTGCTGAGGCAGACGCTCTCCTAAGAAACGTTCCCCCTTCACCAGTCCCACGGGCAGGGATGCTTCTCCTGACTGAAGAGGCCTGAGCAGCTTAGGAGAATGTGGCCACCACAATCAGGACAAGAGTGAAGGTATCATCAAGGGAGCAAGAACATCTGCTCTTACCAGGAGCACCAGGATCATGGGGCCTTGGTAGATGTAATCGGTGTAGACTCCTGCTCGCTTCCCGAACCAGCATCTGCAAGTCAAGCGAACGGGGCGGTCAGCATCAGGGCCATGAATCTAGGCACAACTTCTCGGAAGAGCCCCTCCTAAGGCCTTGTCTACATGGGAAGTTGTATCGGTGTAAGGTAGGGTGTGAATTTAAAGCACAATAACTAGTTGGGTATAACTCCCCATGTGGAGACTCTTAATCCCGAATAGAGGCTTGTCTACACCTGGAGTTATTCTGGAATAGCTATGACTGATCAGCTCCATGTGTGGATAGGCTTCTTCTGGAATAAAATGACCTTGCTCTGGTTTAGTTTAATTTAACTAAAGAGGAATCAGGCACTCATAGGGTACGTCTACACTACGAGATTAATTCGAATTTAGATAATTCGAATTTGGGAAACAGATTGCATAAATTCGATTGTGCGCGGCCACACTAAGCACATTAATTCGGTTTTTAACCACATTAATTCGGTGGTGTGCGGCCACACTACCCCATTAACTTTAACCACATTAATTCGGTGGTGTGCGGCCACACTACCCCTAATTCGAATTAACAAAATCGATTTTGGTGCTACTCCGCTCGTCGGGGTGGAGTACAGAAATCGATTTTAAGTGCCCTTTAATTCGAAGTAACTGGCTCCGTTGTGTGGACGGGTTAAGGATTAATTCGGATTAACGCAGCTAAATCCGAATTAAAGTCGTAGTGTAGACCAGGCCTTATTCTGGAAGAAGGGGGCGTACACGTGGAGTTAGTCAGGAAGAGCAATGGAACTTTAAATTCACCCTTTACCCTAATCTGAATTAAATTTCGAGTGTAGGCAAGCTTTAAGAGGGCCTTTTGCTGGGTTAGTTTATGTTGCTTTGGAAGTAGTCTACACTAGGGCGGGGGGTAGACCTAAGATACGCAACTTCAGCTATGCGAATAGCGTAGCTAAAGTCGGAGTATCTTAGGTTGATTTACCTGGCCGTGAGGACGGCCGCTCCCCCGTTGACTCCGCTTCTGCCTCTCGCCGCGGTGGAGTTCCGGAGTCGACGGCAGAGCGATCGGGGATCGATTTTATCGCGTCTACACTAGACGCGATAAATCGATCCCCGATAGATCGATCACTACCCGCCGATCCGGCGGGTAGTGTAGACGTGCCCTAATCTAAACTGAAGAGACCCTGTTCTCCAGGAATTACAGCATCCACACAGGCAGTTATAAGGGCATAACCAAAGCGGTATAAGTATACAAGTCTAACATCCCATGTGGACAAGTCCTGAGAGTGTCTACCCGGGTTTTGCCACCCTTTAAGTGCATCTCAACCGGTGCATCTCCTAGGGGAGCGGGAAAGGTCTTAGAGTCACAAGGCAAAACCGCGGCTGACAAACAAGGCAAGTTGTCAGGCCCCGAAATGGGCTAATTTTAACGCCACCGTTCACAGGACGAACACGTCACATTCCAGCTAAGTCCTCCCTTAGCAGGTCTCTGTGAAAACAGCACAGGCGGAGGCAGCGTATAACTCTGCTGGCAGATTAAATCCCAGCTCCATTTAGCAAACACTTTGTAGGATCCCAGGCTCAGTTATCCTCACTTATCACTTCAAGGGGAAAGCCCAGCGGCAGCCAGGCATTGAGCAGGACTTGGGCTCGAGCACCAAACCAAGGAAGACTCTTGTCTGTCTTTCCCCACCTTTTGCACGTAGCCGGCCTTCCGTACACTCTTTAGGGTGGGAACATATCCACCCCTTTGTTTGTAACGCAGCCATCCTGAGCAGTGCGTCAAGAGCAATATTTTCCCGATGCTAATAGACGTAGTAGAAATCAGGCTTACTTCTCATTGTCATAGTACAGCTTTCCCAGGGCCCAGGCAATAATGATCAGAAAAGGGATACCTGCGAGGAAAGAAACACGTCGCTCTGAGTGGCAGAAGTACAGAGGGAGGTCCTGGGAAGATCTACTCCAGATTCCTGACCAGGCCTCTGGGGGCACTCGCGAGACACTGCCCCCAAAGCGCCGGCTCTGGTGGAGCTGGTTGGAAGATAGTTTCTGATGAAATTTGCAAATTCAAAAGCTGGAAATTGGGACAAATGCAGGCGACGTTTTCATGAACTTTCCCCCTCCGCCTCCTTGTTTTTTCAACCCAATATCGGGCTGGCTTGGAAGTGTGAATGACAAAATGAAAATGAGGCGAACGTTTTAAAACAAAGACAACACGACTGGGGAAAGGAGTGCCTACCGAGTCCGGTCAGCCAGAATTTCCTGGTGACTCATGCGGATACATTTTAGTCAGCAGCTTTCTCCTTTTTAAGATTAAAGATTTTGTATCTTGTGAAAGTTCTTTCTTTTATAAAAGTCCACCTTGTGTATGAGGGACACTAATAATAATCTTAATAAAGGAATGTGCTCAACCAACACTCAGGCACACTGACATGATTTTAAAAAGAGGGGTCCAACTGAACGTTGATGGGACTTTTGTGCTTGTCTGCTCTGCATGGAACCCCTGCATGAGTGCTGGCGCCCACCCTGGTGTCTGCACGGATCCCCCGCATGCAGCGCTGGCGTCCACCTGCTGTCTGCACGGATCCCCGCATGCAGCACTGGCGCCCACCCTGGTGTCTGCACGGATCCCCCGCATGCAGCGCTGGCGTCCACCTGCTGTCTGCATGGATCCCCGCATGCAGCGCTGGCGCCCACCCTGGTGTCTGCACAGATCCCTCGCATGCAGCGCTGGCGTCCACCCTGGTGTCTGCATGGATCTCCCGCATGCAGCGCTGGCGTCCACCCCTGCTGTCTGCACGGATCCCTGCATGCAGCACTGGTGCCCACCCCTGCTGTCTGCATGGAGTCCTGCATGCAGCGCTGGTGCCCACCCCTGCTGCCTGCACGGATCCCC